GCTGATTGGTTCGCGGCCGAGCCCTGCCCGCCGCCGGCAGCGGCGCCGCCGCTCAGGCTGTGTTTCTTCCAGGTCCAAAAAGTGCCTTTTCTCCCCGAAACCTGCCACCGATGCACCCCGTTTCTTGCAGGAGAGGAGGGGAAAGCGGGTCCTTCCAGTGAACGGAGTTTCCCGTTGGAGGGAGTAAGAATGAGGGAAAAGTGACCCAAGAAACGCCGCGGCGTGCAGCCGCCGCGACCCGGGGAGAGAGAAGCTTTTGTTTTATCTTCTAAATTAAAATTATGCCATTCGCGCTATCAGGACAGCCAGCATGAAAACTTGTGCTTTAGAAGGTTTTCTCCCGATCAGGACAGAAAAAGGAGTGGTTTGAACAGTTGGTCTCGGGGTAAATCGGTATTAAAGCGGAGGAAGTAACACAGCCTCGCCCCGTGGTCCCGGACGCGGATGCAGAGCTGTCTCCCTTGGCCGAGCCGCTTCCCTCCAAAATCAGCTAAGCCCACTTAAGTAGTTTCTCTTGAAAGACCACGAAATATTAGCTAGTGCCTTATGGAGAGACGTTTGTGCTTTAATAGTGTGTGTTTAAGCCGATGTTACTTTACGCTTGCTTAAGTATTCCAGTGGAAGAAACAACCAGGATGCCCCTCTCTGAAGGCTGGTGTTCCTGTTGCTGCGCTTTCAATATACCATCTTTTTTTTGGGGGGGGGAGATTGCTTCTTTTTGTTATATTTCATTGGGAGGGTAGTTACTGTTACTGTATACCGCCCTTTAGTTTTAAACTGTAAAAATAATAATAATGATAATAAAGTCTTCATATCACGAGTTATTAAAATTCATTGTGCAATAAAGTCTGGGTTGGAATGAAAACTTGAACTGGAGGGAGAGTTTAAGCTGAAAATCCACTCAACTAGGGGGTATGTTCTTTCATCAGGATATATTATTATGCAAAACTGGTTTCTCTGCTCTAGTGAATGAGTGCTGTTGTTGGAAGCGTATTGCACTGATAATAGCACCCTGTGAATTTCCTCTTTGATCCTTTCAGGAGTAAGATAAGAATTTAAATCAGTTCACGCGGGTCCCTTCCCCAGGCAGTGGTAACTGGATATTCCAAAAAGAGACGAGCTCTAACTTTCTCTCTTCAGATTTCCCCCTTCCTCTTTAATAGTATGCTGTTTTCTTCCTACTCTGAAACAGTTAACAGCCTGCTTGCAATGATATGGTGGTTCACACACCAGCTATTAAGGTACCATCAGCTCCTAAAAAGGGGGAAGCAGCCCTATTCATGGCTAAAAGAAAATGTAGCAGGAGAAATGAAATAATGATAGCGTACAGTGTTCCAGCGGCCTGGGACTGTGAAAATACACAGATACGCTGTCTCGAATCTCCACTTGACATTAGAGAAATTTAATATTCTTTCCTGATTACACGTTTTGCTGAAAACTGTTATCTCCAAACAGTAACAGTAGCTATATCATGAAAGCATGACCCTTCTGAATATTTTAAATAATTGTTTCTTCTTAAAGACAGTTCTACTGAAAAAAGGAAATGTGCAATCTCTACATTTCAGCACAGACTAGAATTATTCTAGAAATTTAATATACTGATTTTTTTTCTGTGGTTGGAAGTGAAGTAAGGGAGGAAACACATGACAGTGTGAAGTGTCCCAGTGTATGCAAATCAGCCTGTAAGAGAAAGGTATATACCTGTTTCAGGGGATCTGAATGTAATGACAAGCATGACAAATGCAAAGTGTGAGGCTGTAGAATTGTATATCACATGTTGAGTAAACACAACTAGAAACTAATTTCAATGCCTATTTTATCTGCTGGTTATTTCTGCTCATAGTGTAGTAACTTATGGTCTTCAGTGGTCTGACTGGATACTTTATCATAAGAATTGCTGACAATCTGAGGAGAAGATTTGTTCTAAACTGGTAGATTGATCCCATGGTAATAACGAATGGAGATTTCAAGTACTCACAGAGGCAGTGCAGTTATGGCCTTTACAGCTCCCTAGTCCATTAATATCTTTCTACAGGTGGCTTGCTTGTTTCTTTTCAAGCTATCTACATAAGACGATAGCTTTCTACCACTTCTCTGGACTTCTATAGGGGAAGAAGTTTTATCATCCTTACAACTCTTCAAAAGATTCCTAGTAATCCTTTTATTTCATGATATATGTTTATATATAAAACCTCTCATACACCTGGAAATAGAAACAGAGCAGTTTTTAGTTTCATTATCATGATAATTTCTTGATTTGCTTGGAAATTGGATTGTACTTAGAGTCGGAGCTCCTGAACCCTTCATTGGTTTACACAAAATGTATTTCTGCACATAGCAGATTATTTCACTCCACTGTCCTAAGTCAATGACTAAGAAAAGACCAATCAGTAGTATCAAGGTATAGGTTCTCATAGGAGAAAACATTAGGAGCTCCCCTAGAATGCAGGTCAAACCAGGAATGAGCACACACCAGAAGACAGGAAGGACAGAGCTTAGTGTTGCATCAATTCACAGATCATTCACCTGCCTCTGGTACTTTTATTCAGCTACATTTCACAGCTGGACTGTCAAGTACAACCATACGAATATTCTAAGTGGATTTGAACTCCTCAGCCACTCTAGGCTAACAGTTTATTTTTCAACTACTGTAGGAACAGTGCAGAACACAGTAGTTCCAGCAAATCTGTTTTTCTTGCAGTCTGGAAAGAGACCAGTCAGCTGCCTTATATGTGTAGTATTTAAAAAGTCTGGCTTCCAGACATCACAAACATCTCCCAAGGCAGAGAGCGTGTGCACAAATACAAGGAATTCAGTTACACAAGCACAGCAGGAAAGCTTCTCTAGGCTTTGGTCTTCCATTATTTCTTCAGGTAAAAGTTGCGTTTGATTCTTACGCCTCCGTTCTCTCTCCCTTCCCTTTTAGAATCAGCAAGTGTCAATATAAGTATTAAAATATTGTATGAAAACTGGAATTTGTTACTTTCTAGTCTGGGGAATAAATATTGTGTTTTGGGAATTAAAATCTTCACTTTATTAGCACAGGAATATGGAGAGATTCTAATTAGCATTTCATTAAAAAAATAAGTGGGAAAATAAGCCCATCGACAGGAGTCTCATGGTGATTAAACAGAAATTTGCAGAAGTATTGTATTTATTAGAAACAAAATTAAAAGAAAAGAATAAAACTCACTGCCTTTCGTTCTGTTGGTACTTCCAGCATATATATGTTATCCAGGGCTAGAGTTATCTCAAATAACATGAGACTAAGGTGGGTTCAAGTTCTGCATCAAAATCCCACTTTAACTTTGGACTAGTTCAACTTTATCCAGATTGCTTACTCAAATTGAATATCAAGCCTTGCTTCTAGTCCAGAAAAGAACACTGCAGACAGTAACAAATTATTGTCACCCTGTGTTTTAATGCCTTCTTTTAAAGCTCATTCTAAGCACAGATGTTCTAATCTTCAGTAAACTTAGAATAATTACTACCTTTTCCTTACAAGAATTCATAGGCTTCTGTTCTTTCCATTTGTAGCTATTAATAGTGATTTTCCAAGCTTTCCTTCCCACACTGATTTACTAGGACCTGTAATAAATGTTGATGTAATACTTCCAGTGTCACCATGAGCAAGTGAGAGGCAGCCAATTTCCTCACCATGAATTGTGGCTTCCACAATGTGGAGGGTCTTGGCTTGATATACTCAGGATTGCAGGGCAGTCTTACTTCATTCTCCTGACATATTGCTGGGTATTAGCCATAGTTCATGGTGGGATGTACATTTCAAAATGATCAGAAGGGTCTGTATTCCAAAATTGAAGGACATCTTAAAATCCTGTTTTGTTTTATTTTCTCTCTTCTTTCTTGTAACAGAAAATGTCTCTTTATCAGGAAACAAAAACTCTATTTAAATTGCAAAAAGACCATCCAAAGACTGATGAAAATTATTTCATTGTTCCCCAGCCTTGTTCCTCCAGCACTCTCAGAGGATTAAATCACTTATCTTCACGAAGCTATCTGCTCCTCCAATGGACTGCATCTTTTCATTTTATTTTTCTTATGGAAGCAGCAGGAGCAGTTTCTGCTACAGCAGCAGACCTAATGGCAGCTGCTGGAGCTGGCTCTGTGGCACAAGAGTGAGGATGACAGAAGTGATTTACGCTTAGCCCACAGTATTGATCTAAGAATAGGTACGGACTAGAAAGATAGAATTGTTCTGCAGGTCACAGATTCCCAAAGGTGACTAACAGCATTTTTCTAAAAATTAGATTAGAGCTCCTGCCAGAATTGCAGGGTTCATACATGACAGAGGCCTCCTTGTCCAGAGAGACAGCTATGGTCCTTTGGCAACCTCGGCAAAAGCAGACAAAGTTTTTGTCCAGCAGCGAGTGAAGTCAAAGATGCTTGGGAAGTTCCCAATGTACTTAGATGTCTATCTGTCTGTCTATCTGTTTTTCTTTCCCACAATGTAGCAAAAGCAGTACACAGAGATCCCCAACTCCATGGATACCAGTCAGGCTACCTCATGTTATTATATCATTCTCCAAGCCCTTTTACTGAATACTTTACCGCAGTCCTAGATCGAAGAAGTATTTATTCACAGAAATAAATGCTTCACTAGTTTCTCCAAAGCCTATTACAATCACTGCTGTCATTTTATTCTTCGGTGATGCAGCTCCATCTAGAAAAAAATTGTAAGAGGAGAGCTTAAC